TAGCTTACAACTAATAAGAATAATAGCGTATAACTACATCCTTTAGTAGCGCAACGATAAAAATATATTTTTATGCTTAGCAGGTGCTGATAAAACGCTATGACCTCAGATAGAGGGAGAATCCGGATCAATTCCCACTAAAAGGCAGTCCTAATCTGCCAGGAGTGACCAAATAAGGCTGGCAGTGGATCTAACGGAAGCTTATGCCTGCCCATTCAAAACCTTATAGCATTAATACCCATTCGGTCACACACACACACACACACACACACACAAACACCTGTTGGTAATATAATACAGGGATATACCACTTAGTGTTGTATAGTCTTTAGTACTGGGCGTAAAGTAGAACAGGTGGTGCTGTGAGAAAAAGATAGGAAGGCTGACCGAGTTTATTTGGCTAAAATTACTGCCAGCCTCTTTCGGTCCTCACCTGAGAATTATGGGATCACTTCAGATTATCCCTCTAACCATTGGATATACCTTTATCTCTCTCTCACACACAGACAGTAAATAATTTTAATAATTTAAGGTGATACATACAATTATATGTACACAGTCTATAATTACATGTACCATACACAACTGTATGTACATACATGTACAGTGTACTTTTGAATTGTATACATTGTACTTTCGTACATGTACTACACTTACCATTCAAATAATGAATCAAGGTCTTGTTGCTTCATGACACAGTCTAAGACACTGCGTGGTATTGGATCACTAATAGCATTTAATAATACCAACTGAGGAGAGAGAGAGAGAGACCAAGAAATACAATGTAGATCATTACACACATACATGTACATATAGTAACAGTATGGATCACAGTATACCTTATTATCCAGCTCTAGTATGTTGTTATACTTAAGGAATGGCTGCACTACTGGAGCAATGTAACACAAAGCATCAATATCATCCAACTGACTAGCAGCTGCCATTATGAAACCAACTGAACCATATCTAGCCCAAATATTCTATATACAGGGGAGAGAGGGAGGGAGAGAAAGGAGCATTATTTGGTTCACATATTACATATAAAACAAACATAATTTATCATTAATGTATTTGTTATTGTTATTATTATTATCATTTCTCACAGGGTGTGCTATGAAAGGTACTATTTGTTGTAGTGATGATATGAGGAATCTTAAGTTAAAGAGTCCATTGATGCACAATACTGTCATGGAGGAGATAGCTTCACATATCACTGCCTCTTCTGGATCACTTAAGCCCTGACAGAAAGAGATTAAGAGAAGGGAGGAGAAAATTAATATTCCATGGAATTGCATGTAAAAACAGTTAATAATAATTACATTTACATGTACATGCCTGCACTATAAGCATATGTGGATACAGATGCACATAGTATGCTTAGTATAGCTCAATTCTATAAATAGCCCAACACCAGGCCACAGATTTTAGTAGCTGTACCACCACTAAGAGTCCCTCATAGCTGCTAACTTCCCCATCGGCATACGAGTGAAGAACCAAGCTAATAATGGCAGAGCCAATTACACCTCAAGCTCCAAATGGTCCATCGAAAACTCGAAAACCTACGCCTAAAGTTCCATCTGCATCTAAGACTAAACGTAGGAGTTTGTTGTCTACTACAACAAACGCAAGCAAAGGAGGATGCAGCTTTGAGAATATATTGACTGGCAAGCAACAAAATTATTGCTGTGACATGATAATAAAGCAGGAGGGAAGTGTTACCGACCGAGTCAGTAAGTTGACGAAAAAAATAGAAGATATCATTAGGGCACTTCAAATTGAAGACAATATAGTTGAAAGCTTCTTTATTGGGAAAACTTATGTCCCCAAAAGTAAAAAAGCAAAGAAATTTGACCCAATGAAGCCAGGAACCTGGAGAAAAGAAGGCATCAGTCAACGTTGGTACAGCACCTATATACCAATGGAGTACGATGCCTTGATTGTCCTTACAGTTGTGACAAAAGATGACGTTCCTGACCATACCAACCAAGAAGATTACACAATAATGCTAGAGCAAAAGCTGCTCCATTATTATAAAATTGAAAATTACGACGAGCGCATACAAAACGATTCTTTCAGCGGAGGAAGAAAGACCACGGGAGGATATATAGGTTATGCCTTGTACATGGCTGTAAAGTTTGAGTATGAAGAAGTGATTGAAGAAATGGTACCAAAGGATAACAATGACCTAAAAGAGGAAGATGAGGGATTAACCACCGAAATAAAGAAGTTACAAATATAGTAACTCACTAAGGTCGATCCAGCTGGACAAACTTTGTTTGCACACACTTTCTAGGTTTTGATTTGGTACTACATACTTTAATTTAGTAATGTTAACTTCTTTTTTGATTAATACAACAAAATTTAAATACATGTATATCAAGCGCAAAGAACATAGCAATGAAAGCATACGTACATCAATTGTACATGTCACACTATGAAGCAGCAGCATGCAACTTAACAGCTATAGCAATGGAATACCGTATAGAAGGAAATTTTGGAGGGAGTTAAATTTGACAAATTTATAAATTTTGGTGATTGGCAAATTCTTAATTTGGCAAATTTGTGGCCATGTGCCATTGAGCATGTGTATAATGGCTCAAAATGGCGGTTTTTTATTTTGGCAAATGGCCATCAAAATGCCAAATTTGCCAAATCTAACTCCAACTAAAATTTCATTTTATAGGGTACTATGGTCAAGACAGCTATACATTCAAGACAAGAGAGCAGTGTATTAATATGCCTGCACTTGCCTATAGAGATAAACATAAAAAGGCTGCTGCTGTTGCTGTGTAAACTATAGATATAAAGCAATGTATAATAGTGAGACGGACTCAGCTACATGTATGTCCCCGTAGTAGCTTTTTAAAAATGCTGTTTGAAGTGTTATGAGCATTTGAGTAAAAATTCAATTTGAGAGACAATGCCATAAAAAGTTAAATATTTTTCCAGCCTGATGTGTTACTACATCTAAAACTATTATGCTGACCTTAAATTTATCATTATCTAAGTTTATACAAGAAAGCATGTAATTAATAATACAATCACTTCCTGGGCAAAGATATTGCATAATCATGGTGACCGTATTACTGTATAGCTCCAAATTTTCGTTTTTGTGATTTTTCATGATTTCATCATCCGGCAGCTGCTAACAGCCTAACACCATTGGTAATTTCGAGGGGTCCGAAACGGCCTCCAAAAGTGTACCAGATTTAAAATCCACTCAAATTTTGACTGGATTTTTGGATTTTTTTGGATTCTTGTTGGATTTTTTTCTTGGATTTTTTGATCATATAACATTAATAAATGTATCCACCATGTTATTAAAGTTAACTAACCATTAGTTATCTTAATTAACTATTAATAATGGTTAGTTAACTATTAATAATGGTCAATTAACTATTGAAATTACCACTTATTTTAATAATAGCAGTTAATTAACTGTTTTTAATAGTTAATAAATCATAGACAGTAAATCTTTGAATATTGTGACTGGATTTCCTTGGATTTTTTTGGATTACTGATTGGATTTTTGGATTATTGCAAGGATTTTCTGGATTACTGGTGGATTTCTGTGGATTATTGGATTTTTATTGGATTATTGGATTCTTTTACTGGATTTTTTTGATTTTTTGGAAAGTGTACCAGATTTTTCTTCGTTGCGGACCCCTCGGGTAATTTGGCATTGTGACTGTGTGTGAGGTGGTGAAGAGAGTTCTTTTCTGATTACTAAAGCCATAAAAAGGTGAATAACAGGGAGGTTGTGTGTTTATTGGGATTGTGTTAATAGGGAGAGTGAGGT